TCAGCCTCCCGAGTTGCTGGGACTATAGGCCTGCGCCACTATGCCCAGCTAATTTTTGTATTTTTTAGTAGAGATGGGGTTTCACCATGTTGGCCAGGATGGTCTCGATCGCTTGATCTCATGATCCACCTGCATCGGCCTCCCAAAGTGCTGGGATTATAGGCGTGAGTCACCGCGCCTGGCGAGAACCTGTCTTTAAAAACAAAGCCCCCCCACCCTTTTAAAAAAATGTATACAGTCTCACTGTCACCCACTGTCACTGCTAGGGTGCAGTGGCATGATGTTGGCTCACTGCAACCTCTGCCTCCTGGGTTCAAGTGATTCTTGTGCCTCAGCCTCCCAAGTAGCTGGGATTATGGGCGTGTGATGTGCCACCACGCCCGGGTTTTTTTTTTTTTTTTAGTAGAGATGGGGTTTCACCATGTTGGCCAGGATGGTCTCGATCTCCTGACCTTGTGATCCGCCCGCCTCGGCCTCCCAAAGTGCTGGGATTACAGGCGTGAGCCACCGCGCCCGGCCTCAGAAAGTGACGCTACCAAAGAGGCTAGAAACATACTTAACCTCTGACTTGAGCCCATCAGGGGTTTTCCTGCTTTTTTTTTTTTTTTTTTGAGACAGTCTTGCCCTGTCACCTAGGCTAGAGTGCAGTGAGGTGATCACAGCTCACTGCAGCCTCAACCTCCCTCCCTCAGGCAATTATCCCACCTCAGCCTCCCGAGTGGCTGGGACCACAGGTGTGAACCACCACACCTGGCTGGCTAATTAAAACAAAAAAATAATTTGTTGTAGAGACAGGGTCTCCCTATGTTGCCCAGGATGGGATTTTCCTGCTTTTGACAGACTTTCTTGTTACCACGCTCAACACCCCTAACAGGAATCTTGTATTTGTTTTTTTTTTTTTTTGAGATGGAATTCTGCTTTTGTTCCCCAGGCTGGAGTTTGTGGCGCAATCTTGGCTCACTGCAACCTCCGCCTCCTGGGTTCAAGATATGTCTGATCCAGTTTTGTTTTGTTTTTGAGACAGTCTTTCTCTGTTGCCCAGGCTGGAGTGCAGTGGTGCCATTTCAGCTCACTGAAACCTCCACCTCCTAGGTTCAAGCGATTCTCCTGCCTCAGCCTCCCGAGTAGCTGGGATTACAGGTGTCTGCCAGCATGCCTGGCTCATTTTCTGTATTTTTAGTTGAGACGGGGTTTCGTCATGTTGGTGAGGCTGGTCTTGAACTCCTGACCTCAGATGGTCCACCCGCCTCCGCCTCCCTAAAGTGCTGGGATTACAGGCATGAGCCACCGTGCCTGGCCAGCAAGCTTACGTTTTTGAGGTTGACCAATCAGCAAAGCAAATATGTGATTAATGCAAACTTTATTTTCAGTTTTAGGACACACAATATTTGCTTTTGTCCACTTGGCCTGGACATCCAAGAAATTGGATTCACCTGTAACACACTGTCTACACCCACATTCACACACTGAACATGGAGAAGAACTGTCACAAGAAGCCTGAACTAAAGACCTGTAACATAACCTGCAATGAACTTGCTAAATCACATAGTTGTGGAGGTTGCTGCTGTTCACACGAAGTGCTATGGATATACCTACATCACTTACTGGGGATTTCTGACTCATAGTGCAGAACACTTGACACAGGTCTACACAGGCTACCTGGGGTTGTGCATTACTGGGACAGAGTGGGATGACCATTACTCGTTTGATTGTAGCTGGTTTTACTGCTGTAACAGATAAGTGAAGTCTGTGTCGGTGCTCAACTCATAATGTGACTGTTGTGGTTAGGTCTCTTCCCCCTCATGTCTACTATAGGTTCATGTATTATATGACAAGGAACTTAGAATAGAGAGGCAGAAATCCCAGCTACTCAGGAGGCTGAGGCAGGAGAATTGCTTGAACCCGGGAGGCAGAGGTTGCAGTGAGCCGAGATGGCGCCATTGCACTCCAGCCGGGGCAACAGAGTGAGACTCCATCTCAAAAAAAAGGAAGAAAGGCAGAGAGTTATTGAGTTATTATTATTATTATTATTATTTTTGAGATGGAGTTTCACTCATTTGCCCAGGCTGGAGTGCAATGGTGCAATCTCGGCTCACCACAACCCCCACCTCCCAGGCTCAAACAATTCTCCTGCCTCAGCCTCCTGAGAGCCGGGATTACAGGTGCACACCACCACGCCCAGCTAATTTTCTATTTTTAGTAGAGACGGGATTTCACCATGTTGGCCAGGCTGGTCTTGAACTCCTGACCTCCAGTAATTCACTCACCTTGGCTTCCCAAAGTGCTGGGATTACAGGTGAGAGCCACCACGCCTGGCCACAGAAAGTTCTAGTAGGCAGAATCAACTAAGAACAGCAGAAATGACTGTACTATAGCTAGTGCAATGACAGGGTCAGATGGGGTCCTCTGAAATTAGAAAAGGCTTCCTTGTGGCTGGGCACGGTGGCTCATGCCTGTAATCCCAGCACTTTGAGAGGCCGAGGTGGGCAGATCACCTGAGGTTGGGAGTTGAAGACCAGCCTGACCAACATGGAGAAACTCTGTCTCTACTAAAAAAAATACAAAATTAGCCGGGCGTGTTGGTGCATGTCTGTAATCCCAGCTACTCTGGAGGCTAAGGCAGGAGAATCACTTGAACCTGGGAGGCAGAAGTTGCGGTGAGCTGAGATCGCATCATTGCACTCCAGCCTGGGCAACAAGAGCAAAACTCCGTCTCAAAAAAAAAAAAAAAAGAAAAGAAAAGAAAAGGCTTTCTTGGATGCTAAGTCTTGAAGGCTAGAAAATCAACTGGTCAACTGTCAGGTTGATGTGGGGAGGAGAATCTGGTGTGCATTTATTATTTATATTTCACCAAAAAAGACATAAACTCACTGGTATGTATTTTAAAAAGAGGTCACAGACTAAGTGGGGTGACTCATGCATGTAATCCCAGTGCTTTGGGTGGCCAAAGCAGGAGGACCACTTGAGGCCAGGAGTTCAAGACCAGCCAGGGCAACAAAGTGAGACACTGAGTTTTGGTGCATGCCTGAAGTCAGTTACTTGGGAGACTGAAGTGGGAGGATCACTTGAGCCCAGGAGTTTGAGGCTGCAGTGAGCTATGATTGCACCACTGCACTCCAGCCTGGAGGACAGAGTGAGACTTTGTCTCTAAATAAATAAAGAATAAAATAAACAGAAGTCACAGCATAAGCAAACACACTGGCAGAAAATTCCTGGGCATATTTGAAAATTGTCTAGTTTGGTGTAAGTGAAGGGTCCGTAGAGGGAATCAGAGGGAGAGAAGGCTGGAGAGATCAATAGGAGTGAGATTTTGATTGGCTTTGAATACCAATTTAAAGAATATGGATTTAATTTGGTGACAGTGAAGAGCCACTGATGATTTAAGAAGTAAACTAGCATGATCAGTTTTAGATCAAACTGGCTGCAGTGTGGAGGATGGACTGGAGGTAAAATGACAGCAAGGAGGTTATTACAGTAATCCAAGTGAGAAATGGTGGCCTGAACCACAGCATAGACGGGTGGAATAGAAGGGAATGGACTTGGGAGATTCAGTAGACAGTCTTATAGGATGTGGGGGTAGAGAGGTGAGAAGTAGGAGCCTAGGGTGACTGGCAGGGCTGCAGTTGGCTTTGTTCAGTACAAAAACTCCTAATACCCAGGTCTACTCAACTTGCCAGATAGGTATTTTCACTCTTCCACATACCTGCCATCCACTGAAACAGTGTCTCAAAGAGTTAAAGGTTGATCTGCAACAAATAGCTTTTGTTTTCTCAAAAACCCAGTGTCATAATATTGGCTTCTAGCACATCAGGCATCAAGCCCTTTTACTTGGTAACACCACACCACTATCTCCACACTTTTACTCAAGCTTTTTCTGATATTTGGGATGTACATAACCCTCCTTCCTTCCAATCTATCTTTTCATATATAGCTTAATTCCATTTTTTCTGGCAAGACCAGTCTCAAGCTAGACCCAACCTACTTCTCCCTCAATATCCTCTCCCAGGTCTGCTGTGAGCCACTCGGTGGAAGGAATGGGAAGTGGGTAGTCTCTTAAGCATCAGGCAGAGGGCTCAAGCTGAGTTGATTTAGCTTTGTAACTTAACTGCTCAGTGCACAGGGCACTGATGTTGGGAAATATAACTGTGTAAATGGGGGTCGGGGTGCGGTGCTGAGATTGCTGTGCCAGGCGAGTGTACAAAGTTTCATTACCCAGTCCAGCACTGATGACTGGAAATATCATGAATTATCCTTCTGTTGGTAGAGGGAACAAACCAGCCAATTGTTTGCCTGTTCATTACCAGGAATGCCGTCCCTCTTCAGCTGACCTAAATCATAGCTACGCAAACCTTCTGGGCTTTGACCTCTCCTAAATCCTTTAGGAAGTGCCAAGGTGACTCTGCCTCACAGGTCCCTTTCTTCTTGTAAATTATATAGGTGACAATCTGAGCCACACACGTTACAGGTCATATGGTGTCTCCTGTTAACCAATCCGGCATTATACTATATGGGGGTAAAAGGACAAACATGGGACAACTTTTTTTTTTTTTTTGAGATGAGTTTCGCTGGTTGCTCAGGCTGGAGTGTAATGGCGCAATCTCGGCTCACTGCAGCCTCCGCCTCAGGGGTTCAAGCGATTTTCCTGCCTCGGCCTCCCCAGTAGCTGGGATTACAGGCATGCACCAATATGCCCGGCTAATTTTGTATTTTTAGCAGAGATGGGGTTTCACCATGTTGGCCAGACTGGTCTCGAACTCCTCACCTCAGGTGATCCGCCTGCCTCTGCTTCCCAAAGTGCTGGGATTACAGGTGTGAGCCACCACGCCCGGCCTCGACCACTATCTTTTTAACCCAAGCCCCCACTGAAACCCTGTCCCTGTTGTCACATGGACACTGGGCTGCAGGAACATAGGAGGAGCAGAGGCTCCTGAGGCCTCACGCCAGTTGCAACGAAGCCAATCATATATCTCGCCCTAGAGCAGCAGGAGGGATAAACTAACCTGGAAGGGGTAAACCTCGAAGCCAAAAGGACATAGCGTGTCCTCGATCTTCTGCTTCAGCTCTGCGACTTTCGGCTCCATGGCGCACGTTACACGCTGAGCTTGCCGGGGAATGAAGTCTCAAGGACAATTGGGCCGTTACGTTTTGAGTCAACTTCGACTCCATTTCCCAGGTAGGAAACGGGTAAAATAGCGGGACAGTATTGGCTATGCGCGATGCATCTTGGGATGCGTAGTTTGTTCGATCCCTGGAGACAGCTACACGGAATCAGGAAGACTCAGTTTCCCGGCAAGCTACACGGTGGGGGTGTGCATGTACGTGTCTCTTCCAGGGAAAGGTAGTTCCGCCGCCTCCATCGCCGGTTGTGTTCGCGAGAGGCGAACTCAGTTTCCCAGGTGGCGCAGCGGCAGCCAGTCCAAAGTCGGACTTTCAAAACCAACCCGAAGTTTTGAACCCGGCGGCGGCAGTTGTCACTGGCACAGGTTTGGCGTGGTGGCGCCAGTGTACTGCTTCTGGGGAGGTCTCGACCAGGTTCTGGCACCTTCAACCCCCACCTGATATCTGCGTATCATCAGGGTATCCCGCTTTCCCCCCAGTTCCCCAAGAGCGTCCTTCCTTTCCCTAGTCCCACGATCGCAGTTTTGGTCTGATAGTGCATCCCCCTACTCCAAGTTGCATCCCCACTACCCTCTTTCCATCTAACGTGGTGGCCTTTCCTGGGCTGTACCTTGGGTATCCCCCGCTGAGAGAGTAAGCACAAGACACCAGGGAGCCAGACCCCTGCCGCTCCCCTGCCACAGGATATGAGTAGGAGCCTCAGCTGGTTTGAGCAGCTGGATGTGCTTCTCAACACTAGTGATGGAAATGTGGCCCGGATTAAGGTGAGGGGTTGGTGGAAGTCCCCAGTTTGCGTGGGCAGGCTAAGGGACTCTCAGAGCTCATTGACCTGTGCAACTGTTTCTTTTGTAGCAGTGGCTGTATCCTCTTGGGGTCTCCAACTCAGGTAAGTAATGTCTCTTTCTACTTCCAAGCCCTTTCTCTTTCTGTGCCTTCCTCCAGGGCCTGTATCATCCATTACTCCTTCCAAATTCCAACTCTGTCCTTTCCTTAACTCTGTTTCCCCACACAGACCCTGCACTTAACCCTTCCTTATTCCCTCAGCCGGGGACCTGGCTGGGACCTGGACTTCCTCTCATCACTTGCCTCTGCAGTCAGGAGTCCAAGCTCAACAGCCTTGGGCTTTAGAGACTCCCACAGTCCTACAAAGACTGAGCTGCGCTGAGTCCTAGAGCCCATCCTTTCTCTGGGATGAGGTTACTATTCTCTGATCCTAGCTTCAATCTCAGGCTCAGGTGAGGCTTGGAATCCTTGGTGTGTATATGTGATGTTTGTGTGAGATGAGGATATTAGGGATTGGGAAAAGCTGTTATACAGTAGCTCATATGTTTTTTTCTGCCTGGGTAGGTGACTGAGGCCCTAAGGCAGGCAGTGCAGGGCCTGCTAGAAGAGCGAGAGCAGCAGAAGTACCAGCTCAGTATCTTGGAATGTATCTGGCCAGTTATTTTCTTCATACACACAGCTTCATACGTATGCACACAATTTTGCCACACACCTGTTGTGTGTGCACATGTGTCTTGTTTTGCAAGTAGAGTATCTAGGGTCTTATGAAACTCTTAGAGAGTTTCCCTAACTTGTCCCACTACAGCATCACTAAGGTTGCTGCAGGGGGCCCCAAAGGGGAGGGCTCTTCTCCTGGAGCAATGCCTGGAGGAGCTGAGAAGGTAACTGCAGGGCCTTCGGAGCCAGGTGTGGGAGAAAGCCCAAGCCCAGATGCAAACAGGACCAGGAGAATGCAGTCCTCAGGAGCTGCAGACTGAGTAAGTGATAGGCAAAACCTTGCCTTCTTGAGGCCTTTGAACTTTTGGCATTCTGGGAGGCTGGTGGCCTTCTTACTCTGGATTTGTTGATTGACTCTAGAATAGCACTGCTGTCACTCCTACAGTGCTGTGGGAGGAGTCAGAGATTATGCAGAAGGAATTGAAGTTGCTGCAGTACCAGTTGAGTAAGTAAAAGGTTGGGGGTGAATATGTGTTTCCTTGTCCGCTTTTCTGGAAAGTCTTCTTCTTCTTCTTTTTTTTTTTTTATGAGATGGAGTCTTGCTCCGTTGCCCAGGCTCACTCTGTTGCCCAGGCTCTGTTGCAATGGCGCAATCTTGGCTCACTGCAACCTCTGCCTCCCGGGTTCAAACAATTCTTCTGCTTCAGCCTCCTGAGTAGCTGGGATTACAGGTGCCCGCCACCACGCCCGGCTACTTTTTTTCGTATTTTTAGTAGAGATGGGGTTTCACCATGTTGGTCAGGCTGGTCTCGAACTCCTGACCTCAAATGATCCGCCTGCCTCAGCCTCCCAAAGTGCTAGGATTACAGGTGTGGGCCACCGCACCCAGCCTGGAAAGTCTTCTTGCTCTCCCATTAAGTGGCCATGGCTCCAACTGCCTGAGCTACTGAGAAGTGTGGCCAAGTATTTTGTTGCACTCTTTGCCTCTCATGGTGTGAGTTTAGTCTTTTCAGTCAGCTTGGAAGCTTCCCAACGGCTGAGCCAGAATGTTTCTGTCTCAGTTTTCGGCAGCAGGCTGGTCACAGGCAGGGAGGGAAAAGGAAAGAAGTTGGGGAACAGCCCCCTTACATTCTCTCTCATCTGAGGGCCAGCGCCAGCAACTGCTGCTGAAACTGATCTGGCTAAGGGATGACAGGCTCAGTTTGGCAGTTGGAAGCTAGGACTAGGTTCAGACTTCTCCCTGCATATTTCTCTGTGGAGGACCCTTCCTTTCTCTGTCTATCCTGTTCTGCAGGGAGGCCAGGATACCCTCTCCTGCCCCTGTCTCGATTACTCTCTTCCCTGTGCTGACTCTCTCTCCAGAGCTCTTCTTCCTAACCCTTCTGCTCCCGGCCATGAGAAACTATCCTTGCCCACATGAGGGTTCCAAGTGTGCTGAAGAGGACAGTCATGGCGAGAGGTTTGGTTCCACCTGAGCCCATGATCTGGCAGATGTTGGAGCAGTTGCAAAGTGGCCAGGAAGGCAAGGGTCATACCCTGGAGGCTGCCAGGACAGAGGACCAAGATGCCTGGAGGGAACACAACCTCCTCAGGTCAGGGGGTGTGGGTGCTGTGCCAGTGGAGGGGAATTGTCTCACAGGTCAGACACTGGGGACCAAAGTTCAGCTATCCTAGATTTGGTGTGGGCTGCTGGGGGCAGTATGAGTATCTGGTTGTAGCCCATAAAGGCATTCTTTACTTGATATAGAGTCACTGAGGTACCTTTATATGTTTGGATGTTAAAGAAGGAGGAGAGATTGGCAGGGCTTAGTGGCTCACGCCTATAATCCCAGCACTTTGGGAGGCCGAGGTGGGCAGATCACCTGAGGTCAGGAGTTCAAGACCAGCCTGGCTAACATGGTGAAACCCTGTGTCTACAAAAATTAGCCGGGCATGATGGCGGGTGCCTGTAATCCCAGCTACTCGGGAGGCTGAGGTGGGAGAATCGCTTGAACCCAGGAGTCGGAGGTTGCAGTGAGCCGAGATCATGCCATTGCACTCCAGCTTGGGTGACAGAGTGAGACCCCATCTCAAAAACAAAACAAAACAAAACAAAAAAAGAGGGAAGAGACCAGAGTCCTAGCCTCAGGAAAGAGGACAGTTCTGTGCCGGTAGGGCCCCCTTGACACATCATCATCATCTCTGTTTCTGGTTCTGTTCCCCTTTCCAGGACCTCCATACATGTTCTCCAATCTAAGCTGCCTCTGGCCACTACCTTCACCATGTCTGTTTCTTCATCTAGCTTTGAATTCAGTCTTCTGGACAGTAACAGTAGCTGGGAACTTTTATGGAAGCCAGGTGAGGATAAGGACAAGGATTCCCGTTTTGGGGGAGGCTAAATCTGAATGGTACCTGAATGCCAGCTGCCCAATTATTTAACACCAGGTAGAATGGAGTCTCTGCCTTTCTGTGAATTCATTGATATCTGTTGCTATTTATCCTGTCAGTCCTGTATGTCCCTCTCTATTAGAAAGGCCTAGGGCCTAGTTCTGTGCATATCACAATGCTTGCTGATGACTTGTTTTCTCTTCCCTTTTCCTTCCTCTTAGATCCCCAGAGGAGCACCCTTTCTATACTGGAGCCCAGAAGCTTTCAGCTCCATGCCCAGAGTCTTAAGCAAGAGGGCCTGTTCCTTTGGGGCCCCAACATGCTCCTGAATAACCTGTAAGGACTCATTAAGAGTAGTAAGATGAAGGCTTCTTTGCCCACCCTCCCCTCCAAGGCCCTGTTTCTGGACTGCCTGCCTCTACCCTCTTGATGTAGCTATTATTTGTCCTCTCTACTGAGGCTTTTCACTGCTTGCCCATCCTTGTCGCTGGGCTGCAATAAAATGGTTTAACTCTCCCTGATGTGTTTTCTATGAGTCAGCACCCACATGGGATAGAATCAGCTGTACCTGTTCATCTTCCTGTTACTTGAAGTGCTTTCTATGACCTCTACCCCTGAAATCCAAGTTCATAGACATTTATAGCTGTATTTTTTTTTTTTTTTTTTGAGACAGAGTCTTGTTCTGTTGCCCAGGCTGGAGTACAGTGGTGCCATCTCAGCTCACTGCAACCTCCGCCTCCTAGGTTTAAGCAATTCTCCTGCCTCAGCCTCCCAAGTAGCTGGGATTACAGGTGTGCGCCATCACGCCTGGCTAATTTTTGTATTCTTAGGAGAGACGGGGTTTCACCATGTTGGCCAGTCTGGTCTTGAACTTCTGACCTCAAGTGATCTGCCCGCCTTGACCTCCCAAAGTGCTGGGATTACAGTTGTGAGCCACTGTGCCCAGCCTATAGCTGTACCTTCTGAGTGCAAGCTCAGTTGAACTTGAAAAGTAATGGGAGCTCCCATTCTGGTGAGGAGAATGAGGTAGGACACTACTCTGGGGCAGTAGTGCTAGGGGGATGCAAAGGAGGATGAGATATTCTGATGGGACCTGGATCTGGACAGTAGGAGGCTACCTTTTCTCATCTCCAGCTTCTGGCAATTTTTTTTTTTTTTTTTTTTTGAGACAAGGTCTTATTCTGTTGCCCGGGCTGGAGTGCAGTGGCATGATCTGGCTCACTGAAGCCTCTGCCCCTGGACTAAAGCAATCCTCCCACCTTAGCCTCCCAAGTAATAATATATGGGACTATAGGCACACACTATCATGCCTGGCTAAGTTTTAAATATTTTTTGTAGAGACAGGGTTTCACCATGTTGCCCAGGCTAGTCTTGAACTCCTGGGCTCAACTGATGCACCAACTTCAGGCTCCCAAAGTGTTCGGATTACAAGTGTGAGCTGCTACCATGCCTAGCCCCAGCTTTTGCTGCTTGAGGCTCTCTTTGGCATCTCCACACATCATCCTTAGCAGCCCAGATTGCATTTCTGTAGCAGCCTGTTCCCTGGTCTCTTCTTTCACTCTCTCTGCCTCTAATACAGTGGCTTTAAGAATTTTTTGGCTGTGACTTCCAGTAAGAAATACAATTTACATTGTGACCTAGTAAATATGTGTGTAGATTTATTAACTGAAACAAAAATGTTGTGATTTAATTTTTATCCTTACTAGGAGTGATACACTGATATTTTCTATTATATTTCATTAAAAAATGCCTTGTGACTAATGATCCTGATCCTTTCACTACTTGGACATCACAGAACATGAACTGCATGGGTCCACTTTTTTTTTCTTTTGAGATGGAGTTGCACTCTGTTACCCAGGCCGGAGTGCAGTGGCGAGATCACGCTCACTGCAGCCTCAACTTCCCAAGCTCAAGCGATCCTCCCACCTCAGCCTCCCATGTAGCTGGGACGACAGGCATGCGCCACCACACCCGGCTAATTTTTTGTCCTTTTTGTAAAGATAGGGTTTCGCCATCTTGCCCAGGCTGGTCTCGAACTCCTGGGCTCAAGTGATGCTCCTGCCTCAGCTTCCCTAGTAGCTAGTACTACAGGCGTGTGATACGACACCCACTAATTAAAAAAAGATTTTTGTTTGTAGAGATGTGTGTCACTATGTTGCCCAGGCTGGTCTCAAACCCTTGGGCTCAAGAGATCCTCCTACCTCAGTCTCCCAAAGCCCTTGGGATTATAGGTCTGAGCCCACACACCCAACCTCAACAGAAATATTAAACAGCAATATGGAAAATTATTTTTTGAGCTGTCACCAGGTGGCAGCACATGATTTGTTGCCAGAAGAATGGCACCAAAAAGCCTTTGGTCAGGTGAACTGGGCTGGGGTGATCTCTCTTCTACCTTCAGAGATCCTGGGAGCTACCAATTAATCTTCCTATAACACTGCCCTGTTTAGTTTATGGTCCTGCTCAAGAATAGCACTCACAGCATAAAAAAGGACAAATTTGAATATTGGAATTTAAGCCCAACCCACATGCAGCCTCTTCTCTCTCCAATATCTCCTACCACATTTCTTTCTTTCTTTTTATATATTTTTTGGGACAGGGTCCTGCTCTGTTGTCCAGGCTGGAGTGCAGTGTCACCATCCACAGCTCACTGTATCCTTGACCTCTGGGCTCAGGTGATCTTCTGGCCTTAGCCTCCCAAGTAGCTAGGACCACAGGTACATGCCACCATTCTGGACTTT